TGTGCCTATACTTTTCAACTAGCTCCGCAACCTCGTCCTCTGTCAATGGTTCGCCAAGAACCCGATTTCTTTCCTCCTCGAACCGCCTTTGATCTACCTCCGCCCGTATCGGGGCCGAGGTCCCCGTCCATTCCCTGTCTAACCTGCCTGGACCAAACGGAGAGAACCTCTTAGGCTCTCGGAACCCGATTGGTTCAAGATTCGGGTCGATCTCTGAATAGGAGTACCTGAAGTCGAAGGGAAGGTCCGATTTAAGAGGCGGCGGTTTTGTCGCTTTGGCGGAGTCGGAATGTTTCTGGTTAATCTTGGTGGGTTTGGATTTGGGAGGCTTTGCTGGCTTGGAGATTGGGGAAAATGGTGGGTCGTAAGCAGTTTCAGAGAAAAAACAAGAGATGAACCAGAGCGGTGGTGTTGAGAGCGGCCGCGGAAGGAGCTTTTGCATCTGGAGAAAGAAGAGATGACGGAGAAGAAGATGGCTAGTGGTTTCACCGGCAACAGTAACCGCCGACGGATAAATGTTCGGGAAATTATTGCAAACCCTTTCAACAAGGGAAAATCGTAATTAACGTACCTATGGTTTTGGATTATTGCATGTAACCCCTTAAGTTCTCAAGATGTGCATTTAAACACTGAGATTTTTCTAAAAAGTCAAAAAAACACCTAACATTTTTGCTACATGAGCAAAAAAAAAAAAAAACCAGTGGGTAAGTAGGGCCAAAGCAAACTAATTGCCATAGAGATGTCAAATTTTCACATGTTTGACATTTTGTACTTGGTGATATTCTTGATTTTGCTACCTATAAGAATTGGAGGAGGTTTTCAAGCATGTGTCACTTGTGCAAGAAAAAGGAAAAACTCATTATGGTGAGCATCGAAGGTGTCTCCAACATGCACGCTCTAATGTTTAAGTCAAGTGGGATCCAATAAAGATGTTGGAGAAGGAAGAAGAAGTCCAGGGGAGAAGAGGGACTCAAAAGGAGTTACCTTTAATAGAGTGAAAAGGTTTTTTTATAATCTTTTCTTGATTTGTCATATAGTGGGTGGATTTACTAAATTTTGTATGTCATAGATTTCTTACCTATCAAAATAGTACAAGTGGCAAGTGCAATGTCCTATACAAGTAGGACACATGGCATAATACAAGAGGAGAAGTGAGCAACATCTTTTGACATTCTGTAAGTGGTGTGACCTAATGGTCTATACATGTACTATCTGACACGATATAAGCCCCTTGTCCTTTTTACCTTATCCTATACTTTACCTTGGTGGCTAAGCTAGCATGGTAACTTTACTTGGAGTAGCTTTACTTAAAGTAGCTTTACTTAGAGTAACTTACTAGTTAAGAAATATATTAAGATGGTCAATTAAAGCTACAAGATGAATGGCAGGTAATGCATTTCTCACATAAATCTCATTTATCAATGTGATTAAGAT